GATATATCTTAACATTCTCTATTTTGCTCTATATATTTTCGCTAACGTTTATTGCTGTTAATTACCCCATGTAAATTAAACTATTCTTGTTAACATTTGAAATTATAAAGAGTTGCTTTTAAATAATCTTGGATTTACTAAGACATTTATTAGCTCTGGGGCTTGGCCAGCATTAACCTGACCTAAATGTCTATCAGCTAAATTTATGAATAAATAATTACAAAATGCACACATGTATACATAATAAAATCGTCAGTTTGTGGGCCAATTGCTTAAATTACATTTGTAATGTGTCTTGCTCGACCTCAAATAATCAAAAGTTCACATTTAACGAAACGAAAAACATTATTTCGGGCTACGTTAATGATTTGCAAAAACTGCAATGTCTGTTCTATCTGCAGTCGTAAAGAATATGTATAATCGAATAGAAATGAAGCTAACATTTTGTAGTTTCAAGTACAACTGTTCATTTGGGAATGTACTGGCAATAAGCCCGGGAATTTTGAATCAAGTTCAAGTACTGATCTCAGATATCGGATTAGCACCTTCCAAAGTTGAGCTATTGTACTTTTTGTAATTCAATCTAAATGGTCACAGCATGCGATATATCAGGTGTAGCAACAGCGTGCTTGTTACTTTAATGTCTAGCGGTTTAATGACATTGCTTTGCTCGAATTTAATGGATTGTGTAATGTCAATTCCATGTTTAGAAACGACAAATGGAGATAGTACACGGAGAGTTGAGTTTTTAAGTTTTAAACATAAATAATGTAATGTTACACCTTTACGCTGAAGGTGTAAGCGAGAGGAGGAGATATACGAAATGTAACATTTACTGAACATCAACAATATTATGAGTTCTGTACAAAAGGACATATCACCATACAATGTACGACAGATAAAAATTATAAGTACGTTCAATTACATATACCTGAATGGTAACTGGTACACACTAGGTGGGCGATGATATGAACTTTACCGATGAATATATTGACACAATTTATCAGTGCATTCATTATTACGGACGCTTAACTGAATCATTAAAAATATTAACATTGGTTTAGTTTAGTCTTATTTTTCTTTTGTAAAGTTCTATTTCTGATATTACTATTATTCGCCTTTTAATTTGGGTAATCTGCTGCAATATTACTTAATACAAATCACAATCTACTTTTGAAATAAAAATAGTTTTTGGTGCAGATGATTGGATCATATCATTATGTATGATGTGTAAATAGAGCATTATTGAGCCCAGAATATATGTTATCGATGATGAAATACTGCAACGTTGAAATGTACATTGAAGTCAGAGGATGTAGTCATGTTATGTGTTGGTATGTTGCAGGATAATGCATTTGGGGTTTGTTACATCAGTGTGTTTCACTGGCGCACGTCGCAGTCGAGTCACGCACTCGCAGGAAAGTGTATCGGCAGCATCACAACACGAACGAGTGAGAGTTTGTGGCCATAATAGTTCATTCCCCGCTGCGTACAACATTACAAGCTCGATTTAATTTTCCGACGCTCGCTGGAAATCAAGAGGAAAGTCGACGAAGGTGTTATAATTGTATCCTGGTTGCGAAACATTCATAATGATATTGCATATGATTAGTTTGTGTCTTTTTAATGCTTTTACAGTAATTAATGTAAGATTGTACTTAATTCTTATGGCTTATGGTTTATGTCACGCATACATGAAGGCAAAAAATTAAAGGTCGCTCTTGTTTTTAATTTCTATCAACCATTTGGTAATCAGCTGTGTTAAGTAAATGCGTTATGTAATAGATAACTGTAGTGTATTGTAGGGTATCTATGTGAGGAGCATGCCGCGATGGCCAACAATCGACATTATGTGATACATAGAAAGTCGATCAATCTTCCTTTAGTCTTATTGCTTGTTCTGTTTACTGTCATTATTGCAATAAAATACGTATTTGCACATGTGAAGCAGTTTTTTATATGTCATCAGTTTTTAAGGCACTGATTACGCGAATTGTCTAAAGGAACCGAAGGAGGTAATAGAGGATTATCTTCGCGTGAGCCTTAAATTTCAACAAAAAGGCACTTTGGTGGATTTGATGCGTTATATGCCTATTATAAATACATTCCTTATTTTCCTGTCTAGTGAATTTCTCATAAGTATAAACGAAAGAACCAACCCATACATAGATTTTTTGGTGCTTAGGTACTTACTCTAGCTCTTCAGTTCTCAGCAAGCAGCAATTGTTGTGTTTCCATCTGCCAATAAAACAATTGATAGACAGGTGAAGTAGCGTTCATAGAACAGTTCAACAATGCAACGTAAACATTGTGCATGCTTATTACACATTTAAACTCTTGGCATAATTTCACTAGTGATTCCCAGTACCAGTGACTGAGTTAGCGACGCAGTGGTATGGTTAACTCGGCTCGCTCCGTTATCCGCCCTGTATCGCCTTTTTCAACAGCTTTCTGATTCGACACGTATTCTATTTGAGTCACAATAGGACCTGTTACGAGGTCATATTCATATCAGTTTAACATTATGCATTTGGGTTACCATACAATGGGTCAACGACCAGAGAAATTAACTATGACCCGTTGATACTCCACCACGAAGGATAAATCTTGGTTAGCAATAACAATTTTCTGATACGATCTCTTGTTAGGCAAGATTGGTTGTTATACTTCGCCTTGGGAGTTCAACGAAATCTATGATTAACACTGAAGATTTTAAGAGTATAATAATTATCAGATAGCAGTTACTCAATGAGGTTTTACATGGAATACATGGTCTTCCCACGTGTAGAGTTGTATTTAAATTATACGGGTTCAACCGTTGTCTGTTACTTATATATATATGTACTTGGAATGAAGTAAGCAAGCAAGAAAGAAAGATGTCATTCATAATTAAAGCGTTAAATTCATGTTATAAATGCTTGTGTGTGTCTGAGGAACAGCTAATGCGCACGCAAGTCACGTCTGCCGTGACGCCTGCGCAAGCTCGTCACCGTTACCGACATTTTGTAATGGCGACCAAGGGACCGCCGCCCTAGACGCAGGAGTCAATGTCCCGGCGACACCACACTGCACTCACTGCCACCTGTCAATTTGTGAGCGCGACCGCAGCAAGCCTCGCGGTCACCGCAACTAGAAGAGGCAATTCTTCAGTATTGCGTTCGCGGCACTCTCCGGCACACATACAAATATTATGTAACTGATACTCAAACTGTTCAGACCATGCATCGTATCGATTAAACACAACAAATTACAATTCAGGATAAATAAACTCAAACATTAAAAATATTATTTTTATTTTAAAATTCTTACAGTTTGGTGTTTTAATTTTACATAAACATACCGATTCAATGTGTAATAGAGAACGATATAAGTAATTAAATGTTTTACATTCATTATCAAATAAGTACATTAGCCAAATATTAATGGAAACGCATATTATATTCTACTGAAGATAACTTTATGTTAGGTAACTCGAAACTATCACATCTAAGGCCTACAATTTAAATTAAAGTTGAGAAAATAAATAATAAACTACTTGTATGAAATACAGGTACATACTTCCCTATTTATTTACTCTAAAACTTAAATTTATTAAATGTTTTAATATAGTACAGTACAATATGATTAAGTAGGGTAAATGATAGTGTGTTGTCTATGTTTTATAAAAAAAAATTTGGAGACATCGGATATATAACTACACTTTTTTTCAGATGAGGTTTTTTTATAGCCGGCCTCGATCTAACTCTGGAACTGTATGATAAAAAATCTAAATTTTATAATATGTACAATACGAAAAAGAATTATCTTGGCACAGGAGACATACATTTTTGTACTTCTGATCACTAGACCACCAGAATTGTTTAGTTTTATTAAACATCTTAACCGTTTTGTAATTGCCGATAGCGTCCCAATTAAAATATAAATTATTATGTAAATTGTGTAAATACTGTGTATATGAAATGGTCATACCGTTAAATTTGTAACTTTACGAAAATTTACCGTTGCATTTAAAACATTTTTAACGTAACATGCATATAAATTATGATTACTGTAATAATTTTCGCTCGTTGCATATTGTTAAACAATAAGTCTGTATAACAGTCGATATTTTGCTTTTCTTTGATGTAAAATTGTTAATTTTATTACTTAGGCATTTTAATACTCGCAATAAAATAGACGATTTGAATAATATACTTCATCAAACCCCAAGCGAACGCCGGCGTTCGCGCACCCATTGTTCTTCTGTTGTGTTTATTATCGAAAGCTAGACGTCATAGATTAACATTTCGTTTTTAGTTACGCCTTTTTTTTATTTGCAAATGACGGCGCTTGTCTCTCTCTCGCACGCTATGACTCCCTAAGGAGTTGTAGAACAAACTATATGGTGAATTCTCTTTTTACCAATTATGTTACCAGTATAATTACTAATATAGACAAACTGAACACCTTTCTTGACCCTCTGTTGTTAACGTAATCTTTATAGACATTCAAAGACGAACAACGCGAATCGATCTAACAACATTTTATTAGAATAAATCTTCAAGCCATATAGAAATGCAAAGCCTCTTTAAACATCATTATTGACAAACAAATTAGTTTAACAATATTTCCTCTAACCAGTTAGGTATCCGGTGTAAAATTTGGATCATAACTACAAACTAATTAATTGATCGAATTTACATAACAGTTGTTAAGCTACATTTTTTATTGATATTTAACTTAAATTGGGTAACAATTTGAAATTGGCACACGTAATGAATAAGGGAAGTGATTGAGTAATTAACTCTATTACTTAACAACTAACAAAATATTGCTCAGAGCCCTACGCTTTATTAAGAGTAACTGCTAGATTGAATAGACCCTTTGCTTAAATTAATATCTTACTGCCATACTCGGCGACATTTAAAGATTACTAAAACTATTCCTTAGTAACGATTTTGTTTCGAAAACAATCGCTAAGGATTGGGTTGAGTAACTACTAAATGACTCTGAGTACGAGGTTAAATTAAATATCTATATCACTACACAAACATATTGCATTTTCTTATAAGTTATTTACTTAAAATTAAATATACTTAGAAATTATTCACAGAAGTAATACGTGACTGTATTGCTTCGTCGCTTGAAACAACTCAAACTGCTATGTCAGACGTTAGTTTAAAATCTATACATTTAAATTCGAAAAATTCTCACTAATCACTGTGTCTTGTTCACTTTGTACAAAATGTTTTGAACTACACACATTGGTAACTATAATATTTCACTTTATTACGCTGCTAGTGCCCTCTGTCGTCAGTAATTGTGAACGTTCCGTTGCAAGGCGAGCTGCTGTCGTATGGTCTGAAACAAATAAGATGTACGTCAAAAACTTTGCTCGCCAGAGTAGATGGCGCTAGTTGGTAGATTAAGTCGCATAGGGTCTCATTGACTTCAATAACATTTACATACGGAAATTGCAATATTATGGGACACAAGCATTATTCACACCTTGACCTGCTTTCGACTCCTGCGCAGGGCTTGATTATTATCACACTAACTCGAGAATTTATTGCCCTGTCTTATTTATAGAAATGACAAATTCTTTATTTTAAAGGACTCACTACCATTGTACCTTTCTTCTATAGTGACTTTGAAAAATATTTTTTGAGAAAAGACAAATTATATGTAGACTTATATATTTATTTAAAATAGTTTGGTAGATTGATGTTTGGTGAATTATTGTTTATATGGACAAAAACAGTTTTATACAAAATAAGGTATGTACCGCGTTGGGTGATATTGGACACAGTAATCAGTAGAGGTTGATCGACCATAGGACAGAAGACTGTTACTAGCCTTCTAGTTCATTCAGGGAATGATTGCCATTTTCTATAATGAATATCAAATAAATTTGTAAATAAACTGACACTATGATTGAATACATAAAACACATGCTCTTAAAAATGTCACATACGTAAATATATTTATGATAAAATTGACATTTTCCTCAATTATTGAAGAGGCGTGTTTATCTCATTGAGGAACATTTGACATTACTTTATCTGCTGAAAATTCGATACATATTTCACATGGAAAATACGTCACTTTTTCCGTTTGTTGTACTAACAAAAACTCTATCTGACATTGTAAGACAGACCGTAACGGCGGCATTCATGGTGGGCATTTAGGGAAATATAGTGTCGTGACGTCAATTCATTCATTTAGCATTTTAGTGCGAAACTCAATCACAATTGGAAAACTATTTAATTTGAACCAAACTAAAGCATTTTGTGACTAACAAGACATTCTACATGTTTTTAAATACGTTAAGTAGATAACTTACTGATTTACGTCTCATCTTGACATTTGATAGGTACTTTAAATCGAGCAATTAATGTGTGGGTGTAAATATGTATTTCGGACGAAAGAGCAATCATAGACTTTAGACAAAAACGAGCTAAACTCGGTTATCCAGGTTCATTCATACATCCATCGTTCATTGATCTATGATAACAAGTTAAGAGTTTTATCTCAGATATCTGCGATTTCACATCTTATCATTATTTTTCTTGAATGGTGTTATGTTGTTATTTGTCTCTATAATCTAAGATTTATGTTACATGAAAATATCAAAACTATAATATGATAACACGCCTTATCATTATGCACGTTTTGTTTGTCCTTCATCAGTATTTCTGTTAACGTTGACATTCAAAGAAATTACTTTTTTCAGTGTCACGTTTCAGTATTTAATTTTACTCTTTTATAATGTTTATCGATACTTGGTTAGTTAAAACTACATTTCTTATTGTTTTTCTTCATTACTTTTAAATACCTATTATCAGGAAGAAAATAAGTGATACCAATGAAAATTATAATTTGAAAATATTGTATTGGTTTTATTATGATTTTAGTTTTTTTTAACATTCCGTTCGTATTATCTCTTAACCTGTTTCTTACCACATAAACAGTGAGAAAAAAGCGTGGACACCTATTTATGTGAGACGTTTGTCCATCGGTGGATTTATCATGGCTGACAATGATAATGATGATGAGGTCTTAAAAAAGTATGAATAGTACTTACACTTTCTTTTCGCTCACAGGCTGAGGTGGTTGGGGTTCAGGGCGGGCAGTGTCTGATAGAAGCAGCACTATGCCACCTCCAATAGCAGCCAGAGCCGCGATCGTCACCATCGGTAGGTGCTCATTTATCATTGTCTGAAAATACCATATTTTTTATTTAAAAGAAATTACAAAAAAATATATTGATTAATTTATTAGCAATTTGTCAATGAATAATTTTACAATTTCTACATTTCATTCAAGGCTCAAGTTTTGGCCTTGCTCTATGAAAAATTGTTGCAGCTGGATTCTATATTTCTTTTTTTTTTTCTTAGTATCGTTGCCCTCGTCGTCATCAGCCTATAAGTGCTCACTGCTGAGTAAAGGCCTCTTCTCATAAGGAGAAGGTTGGAGCAATAATCACCACGCTAGCTCAATGCGAAAAAGTCAAAGGAAAAAGTCACTTCGGATATCATTCGGATAGAATCGTTGCCCTATCCTAGGACTTTCTCCTGTGTCGTGGGTGCGAACACCTTTGTGCGAACACGATTTACAAACATAAAATTTTACATACACATTACACCTACACCCGCAACAATAATATCTGAACGACACAATGAGTTGTTCCATGCGGGAATCGAATCCGCGACACGTTGCGCGGTAGCCAGCCACCGCGCCAACCGTGCAGCATTAATATATAAAAGTATTCTTACCAGTCTCCATAAGTACGGAATGCATATGAGTGCAAGTCCTGCTGCTATCTGGCTGGCCCCCACGCCAAGGTTCCTCACCACAGTTGGATACAGCTCCACAGTGAAAATCGGCATCATCATGTTTGTGGATCCGATAGCAAACTTCCCGATCATCAAGCAAGCGATCATGATCCATTCATCATCGAATGCTATCGATAGCAGCTCGCTAGCAACACACGCAAGACCACACACTAACATACTGATGAAGATTGGAACCCGTCTTCCAGCCTTTAAGAGAATCGGGATACTTATGGCTATTGCTGGAACTTCCACGATAGCTAGGATTATAGACGTTACGTGTAGGTTGCCAAGGTTGAAATTTCCAATGTTCAGTAACAGACCGTAGTACGCGATTGTCATGCAGAACCAAGACAGGAATAGACATATCGTCCTCTTGCGGAGTACTCCTCTGAACAGCATCATAACACTGGGCAGTTCTGTGCTCTCCTGCGTTTTGTGTAACATTAACAGTTTGTCTATATCAGAAGGCAGTTCACGCTTGTTAAATTTAGCAGCTCTTTCTAATATTTCTTTCGCTTCCTGAGTCTTTCCCATACTGAGCAGCCATCTTGGTGATTCTGGCAGAACGAACCTAGGAAAATATAAATTTATTATTAACTGTACTATTATTTTCATAACTCTAACCAAATAGTAGTTTCATATTCCAGAATAAATTTATTGGCTACTGTAAACAACAGTTTTATTGGTAGTAACATCGCAACAAATTAATGTTATGAGAATATATTGTGTGCACTTTAAGTGTTAAAGTACTCTTGTAGAATAATTTTAGTTTTATGAATTGAATATGAAGTGAAGTAACTATTACCATAAAGCCAGCAGAAGACATCCGGGAACAGACAGGCTCAGCTGAAGATCCCTCCAATTGGGCATCAGTAGGGACAAGAGAGTGACAATCAGATACGCAACGGGCAGCCAGAAGAAGTTGCAAACTCCTGCAATTGTCACCCATTTCCCTCCCACCAGCTCCACGGAGAGGACAAAGGCAGCGTAGACCACGGAGACCGAGACGAATCCCATGATAAGCCTGACGACCACGTACTGCACGAAGGAGCGGACCAAGAGAGACAGGATGGCCAATGAGCTCTGCGCTACCATCATGCTCATCAAAATCCTCTTACGACCGAATCTAGAATGCAATAAAATAAACATCAGTATTATTTTTTAGGTGAGAAATTCTGATTAATTAAAAAACAGACTTTGTTTATAATATTTAAAAAAAGGCAAATCTCTCAATGCTAGTTTCTTGTTCCTCTAGTGTCAAGGATTGTGAAAGTGAGCTACTAAATTTAAAAGTTACTCGTAAGTATAATAAATCAAAGTTAATGTTCACCTATCAGATATCCAGCCGCCGACGACTCCGCCAACTCCAACGCCGACCAAAAACACGACCTCAGCTAAGCTTGTCAGATGTGCTCTGTCACAGACCAGGTCCCATTCTGAGATTATAGTACTTCCCACCTCTGTTCTGTCATAGTTCCAATCTGTGCATTTCTGGAAAGAGTCTATGAGTGGAGCAGTATGATTCAATATAGTTTCCACTGTCACTCCTGCAGAGATTGTCCGCACAGAACAGCTGTCCACGGGCTGACTGTAGTTTATCCAATCTTGTAATGGTAAACTTGAGAAGTTTTCTGGTCTTTGACACCAGAATTTCGTCGCTTTCGCCTGAAAATGTATTTTTTATAATATAAGATATATTTTAAGTAGATATGAAATATAGTTCTACACCTAAATACTTCAATGTTTCCAACTAGTCAAATTCATTACTTTTATTAAAATGTCAAAAACTATACTTTTCTTTGAATTTTCTATCAGATCCCAGCATATACATATTTAAATATTTAACTTAAAAATCTAATATTGAGTATATTGTCAAATCAATAAATAAAAGTATAATTATAACCTAAAAAAAACTTTTATTTAAAAGCCAAACTAATCTATTTTTGACCTAGAAAACTACCAAATTGTCTTTTTTCACTCATTATTTTTTATTTGATTTTCCTCCTTTACTGAGTTACCATAGAATGCGTGTTATATACACGTATGTGGGTACTCCAAGGTTAATTAAAATTATATAAATAGAAGAAAACCCAGATCGTGAGCTTGGAATAGCAAGCAAAACCACAACGTAATTTCTGTTTTAACCACTAATTCGATTTTAAGAAAAATGCTCTTATATGTTAATTTCAATACGAGTACAACAAGGAGGATAATCAACGACAGAATTGAATAAAAAAAGTAAATAGTAGCTATAATTTTATTCTAAAGTACTGCCATAAAATAGTGGTATACTTCTGTGAACATAAACCATTTACATATATGGCGTATCAATTTTTTAGTCAATAGCATTTAGCAGAAAGCCCTTGAAAAGGACAAGTGTCCTTTTCGAGTGTAATTTAATTATTAGCTTAACTAGCTAAATATGTGTACCTAAAAAATAGTTTACTTACGGTAAATGTTGGTAGGTAAATGTGGAATGTGCAGGGCAATGAGAAAAGGGACAGCAAAAAGGTCATCAGTAACTGCCATTTTCCAAATTTCCCGATCACATCAGACACCACATCTGGACCTTCGTCCTCTGTCGGAGACACTGCATGAGTTTTCTCCTTATTCGTCCCTTGAGCTGGGATTACTGAAAAGAAATAAGATAAGAATTTAGAAATAAAAACATGATAATACCTTTTTATAAATTTGGAGGAAGGAAAATATAATTATTTAATTCAGTACTAAGTATTCCATTGCGTTTAAGACACGGTAATACTATCTATATATTTTTTTTATTATATTTACGTTGGTAAATATTTATGAGCAATAGTACTGCATAGACTGTAAGAGTACAACACAACATACAAGTATTTTTTTAAAGTTTCCCTTATTAACAATTAAAAACTAACAGAGTACCTAGTGCGAGTTTACTTTACGCTATGACGATCGACACATTTATGACGTTCAGTGTCCTGATTGGCCTGCTTTTAGTTCAACAACCAATCAGAGAACTAAACGCAGAAACGTTTTAATCGCGTTAACTTGAAACAAACTCGCAGTAAGCACTCTGTTGTGAATTTTGTAATAACCTACCACTCAATTCAGTTTCTTTTATTTTTCTTTAGATTCAGGTAGAAACTAAACAAAAAGATGTATTTATTTAATATTACCTACATAACAGGTATACGATAACCCCTAAACAATTATGCAACTGGGCAAACGTGCTTCACCTAACTAATTATTGAAGAAAAAAAACATAATGTATCACGAACACTGTAATATGAGCATCTAATTCTTCCACTCTACGGTCGATATACAGGATTAATTACTTCTTTGTAACTACTTACATACATATGTAGGCACACCTATACCTAAGATATCTTTGTTTCACGAATTAATAATACTTCTAGCGATATTTCATACCAACTTGTTTAAATCCAAGGAATCAAGTTCCCAACGCCTTTTGTTGAGTTTTATATATATATTTGTTGTATTATTATATGAAATGTATACTACCTAGACTAGTCGTTTAATGATAAAGAACATAATGTAATCAATAATGTAGGAACTTGTAAGAGAAACTGCTTCCGACGACTCAAGGTTTCGTGCTAAGGGATCCTTGTGAAACCGTATAAAGTGGACTGATATAACGAGGTAGGTTACTCAAGTATTATTTTACGTTTTTAAATTTATATTTCGATCTGATTTACAGTATAATAAAGCATTTTTTGTCATATCTTTTTTTTACATTTTCCAACAATTCCTTGTCGTAAACTGATTATAAATTGCATTTTACCTACTCGTGTTTGTAGATATTGTTATAGATACTTAGTGTTAAATTGTATAGAATCATCGAGTTTAAAAGGTCGTGAAAATCAGCGTCGTTGATGATAACACATGTACGAAAGACTTAAAGCTCAATTAATCGAGTCGCGTGCGCCGGTTTGATGTTCCACGTGCTTTTCTTGCGAACATTTCGCGCGCGCTTCGCAATTATTAACGAACGTGCCCTCACGCCGCCGCCTTGGCAATGATCTTCACAATACATGATTGCAACTATAACGAATGACCCACTGCCAGTGTAAGGCATCCATGTTAATTTTAGAATCATTAATAAGCATCTTCAATCTCCATTCATGACATTCGTAATTATACGACTTATGAATATGTTAAATTGATAACTTTATGTCTATTTATTAGTGTTACGCAGTGCAGTTGTAATATTATTTTAATTTATTCTAATGAATACATATTACCATAAAGAACTGGTTCATACTCGTTTATTTTTTGCAGGTTTTTGACACTTTGTTTACCATTTGTTTGAAATGCTAAGTGATATCGTTGTATTGTGAATATCAATGTATTTTTTTCTTTGTGTGAACAGAATATGAATTGATATGAAAATAGTATACATATATAGTGCAACATCAACATTGTAATACATTTTAATCAAGATTTCGAGTGATGTCAAACGGTCAATCGTTTGTAAAAGGAACCTTTATAAATACATGTTCTAGGGTGCATCAATTTCAGTGTTGTACATGACTAGAGCAACGTAAGATTGCGTGCGTAGTTTTACAACATAAACTGGAGAGGCGTCATCCGTTTAAACATTATTCTTCATCTGGCGGACAGCGGACTGCATTCGGGGCCAAGGCCGGAGGGCATATCGATTACGTTTATCGCGATTTGCATGGCTGACTTAGCACAACGAACGAATTACTGTCCATGCAACAGTTAAATATATGAATAGATCTAAACATTGTAACAACAAACCTCGGTACGATGGTTTGCGTGCAAATTAACTATCAATTAACTGAATATGATTTAAAACCGCCACGAACACTACTGAAAATTATTCAAAGCAAATTCGCACATGAAATATTTATCCTTAACAGGTTTGTTTTCATTTTTTATTTAGGTAAGGTTAATTCTTACGTTGCGACTATTAAGAAAAGTAGGTAAATGGAATATCGTGACTAAAATATTATATATTGTTTTTTTACTTTATATCACGATAAATTAAAGTAATGGAAAAGCGGATTGTCAGACCGAGTAAAGAGTTTAGCAAGGCCTTGGTAATGTTCTAATCTATGCAATTCTTCTTATCATTAAACAAGGCTATAGACAAATATAATGTGTAATCTCGAAAAAAGAAACTACCTACAGTTAAAATTGTAATGTTTTGTAAAACACAGAGGCTAGGTATGTGTTAGTTCTTGATTAACGATTTAATTAAAGTGTATCAGTTTATATGGTGTGTGATGAGCATTGATTAATCTCTTGATATAATGTTCAACTCGATGTTTCAATTGTTCAAGTGTCTGCTCGCTTGTATTTATTTCTACCGCAGCGTAGATAAAACAGAACAATTGCAATCTATCAGTGCACTAAATGCAACGTAGCTGTATTGAACTACTAAGGATCTTTTCAATTAGTATGACTTTTGTAAAAGTTATCCAAGTATTATTGTGATATGAAAAATTTATTTTAGACTAGCTTTTGCCCGCGACTCAGTTCACAGAAATCGGTTCAGTAGTTTATGAGTGGAGAAAAGACAGACAGACAGACAGAGTTACTTTCGCATTTATAATATTAGTATAAATATAGATAACGTAAATAGAATAATTTTATCATCAAGTTTTAGTTGCGTTCCGCAAAAACGCGATACTTGCTCAAGATTACAATAAAAATAAAAGCCACGTTTTTAAAATGAACATATAAAGTTTTTAATCTATTTAATTACACGACTATCACATTAAAACCTTGGTCTGTATTATCTAAAATAATTAAGAGAACATACAATAGCGAAGTAATTTTAGGAAAGTCAACGATTCGCGTGACCGTGATCGTGAGAAATAATTTGAATAGGTGTAAAGCAACAAAATGATAAATTATTTAAACAAGAAAATATTCACACACGCTATTATCATTATCAATTACATTCCAGTTCATTGACAATGACCTGCTTTCTAAGTTTTATGTTTTTCTCAGATAATGTTGCAAGTCGTATCTATTGCACAATTGTTCTTACCTACTTATCTAGTGATTAGAATTTTCTACGGTGGTTTGTTCCCGATGTGTTGGTAATTGTTCATGAAGATTTCAATCAATCAATGTGGTGTACAAAAAACAAATTAATCACCCCGCAAATGGGCTTGCTTCCTGGATGAAAAAATATTGCAATTTACGACGGTTCCACTCTATTCGTCACCTGTTCATCCTAACCCAACTACTGACCTGTTAAATTAAATCAGCTGTACGTAGGAGAGCCGATGATTTCATGTGTAACGCAATATTCGTCACGCTGCATAAAACTGCACTCTGAGGTATCGTACTTACTACTTGGTCGCAGTCATTAGGTTTTTAAGTTTCCTTGCAGTTTTTGTTATTTAAATTTAGTTTTATCTAATTGGCCTTTTAGTATACCTTGGTCCTAATACTTTACGAGATAAACATGTACATAGTAGAAGTGATGTGTCCTTTTTCAAAAACAGTAACTGAGCACACACTTTCTTAACATTTAAGTAAGAAGCAGTTGGAAGAAATAAAATTAGAATAAAAAAAGTTCCAATCGTATTTAACATCATTAACTACAATTTTATTGTTCTTTTCTGTTGTTATGGAGTTTCAGTTAAATCATATAAATGAATGGTAATACAGATTAGTGGACTCGTACTAAATGATAAGGTTTATGTCAAATTTAAGATGACGAAAAAAATCTATATTAAAAATTAAACTGAAAACACAAAAGCAACTTAGGACTATATCAGCAAATATTTAGGAAGATGAACATTGTCGATTAATAACTATAGAAACTCAGTGCATTTGAGACAGTGAACAGTCCTTGAATTTTTAGATAACAATATTTAGAAAATATCATCAAAGAAAATATAAATACTAAATACGATTTTTAATAGTAAAAACACAATTAAATTTGTTACGAGAAAAATTATAGAAATAAAATGAAAGTAGGTAAGGTTACCATTCATTGTTATAAAAAAATCGTTGTTTTAATAATACAATAATGTTTACCTTTTCCAATAAATAAAATAAGTATGTAATGCATGTTAATTTATTATTCACTTTTTTTTGTAAACACGTATTCTACAACAGTCATTAGAATATCTATGTATCCCAAGATTCAACTAAAATCGATCCAGTAGTTTAGTCGTGAAAGCGAAACAACTTTTTGTTCGCAACAGATTTCTTTATCCTTCACAAAGTACAATGTTGTCCGAACACGTGCCAGCTAACAGAATGATATGTTTTTTTAACGGAAAGAAAAACATCCGTCAATCAGCCATTGTGTACCACGGAAATCTGGTCTCGGTAATAGTCGGTAACAGTTGTAAGGTCAGGTGTGAACATTGTCTGAAACCTCGCGTGACCCAAGCCAATACTTGGTTCAGACCTTAAAAATGAAACGTGTGGACATGCATTTTTTGTATATCTATACTTTTTTACGTAAATTACATTAAACAAAATTGTATTCATTCATTGAGTAATAGAGTTTGAAATCATTTGCAACCTTCAGACGTACGTTTGTACGTTAGTACTAACTTAATGATTGTCGCTTGTAGTACTCGTAGGAATTTAAAATAGGTTGATCTAAGTCACTGAAAACAGTTGCCATAATTTTAGCTA